AAAAGATTTGATGCTTATGTACTTAAAATTAGTTTTAAAATGAGTGAATTTGATGTACGTCTGTATTTTAATAACTCTAAAGTAGGCTAGAAGTTTATTTATTGTTATATGTGAATGATATGTTGCTTGCTAGCTCTAGTAAAGCTAAAATCATAAAGATGAAAAACATTTTAAAATCGAAATTTGACGTGAAAGACTTAGGAGGGAGAACAAAAATTCTTGGCATGGTTACTAAAAGAAATAAGGCTGATAATAGGATGATTATTAATGAAGAGTCTTACTTGGATAAAGTGATGACCAAATTTGATATGAAATTTACTAAGTCTTTCATTGTACAATTAGCTGCATACATGAATTTCACAATGCCCTAAAATTGAAAAAGAAATGCATGAAATGAGTTTCCTATGCTAATGCCATTGGGCCAGTGATGTATTCTATGATTACCACAAGATCGGACCTTACATTTGCAGTTAGTTTCTTGAGTAGGTTTATGTCTAACCTATGTAAACCTCATTGAACTTCAAAAAGAGGATTAGTGTTTAATAAGGAAAATGAAAAGTTAGAACTAAAAAGAGATTTAGATTCTGACTTTGCGGGAGATAAAGATTAGAGGAAATCTACCATTTCATACTTCTTCACTTTAGGTATAATTGTATCACATGAAAATCACAGTTGCAACCTATTGTCACACTCTCTAGCACTGAAGCAGAATATGTTGCATTAACTGAGGCTGTAAATGAATGCATGTGGCTGAAGGCCTTCTATATGAACTAAACTTCTCGAATGATAATACTACGATTTTTATAGATAGTCAAAGTTCTTTAATGTTGTGTAAAAATTCCGTTTATCATGAATCGCTCTAACCATACTGAGGTGCAGTATCACTTCATTAGGGAGAAGTTAGTTTCTGGTGATTTTATTTTGCTTAAAATTGCAACTGATGATAATCCCATAGATGTTGGAATAAAAGTACTTGTAGTTGGTAAGTTCAATAAATGTTTATCAATATTGAGTATTAATAATGACTAACTGTTGTGCAGGTACTGAGTTAGAGTGAGCGATGATGACAAAATAAGACCACACTAATAGATATCACATGTAATCGAGGAATTTGGTGATAGATTATATTGTGATCCAAGGTGAAGATTTGTGAGGTGGATCACTTAAATCTACGTGGCACATGATTATTGGCCTTGAGTGTTTGGTAAGGATTGTACTAGCTTGATATAATTGTAGACCATTGATTAAATCCAACCATTGAATTTAATCTTGTGGTCACTTTCTATCCCTGGTCATTTCACGTGTCATTGTGTTTGAATTTTGAATTCAAAATGATTTTAACTCTATAATTATATGTGTATTCACTTGTTTTCATTTGCACTTGGCATAACAAAAGAGAAAAAGTGTAGAGAGGTAATCAAGTGAGAGAAGTTCATATCTCTGATGAAATTCTTGGTGGCTTCCAACGGATCTTTTCTCAGTATATCTATCGTCATTCTTGTGGACAACGGTACATGATCCAATGTGGCACAAATCTGAGCTCAACATCATAGGATACTCCATTGGTGGTGTTCAAGAGGCTTTGAGCTGATTGGTTGGATTTTTTACACTTTTAGAGTTTATATTTCTGCATTGCACTTGTAATAATTATTTACATACTACATTTAAATTCAATAAGGTCTTGCCTAATATGAGGGATGGCCACAACATTGAATTCATGTGCTCTAGGTGTCCCAATGGGATGGAAGAGAGAGAGGGGGGATTGTTCTCAAAATTCGGATTCTTGATTTGTACTTGAGGTGTCTAGTGACCAACTACAATTACACTTAATAAACAACGAGATAATAGCCCAAATGGTCACTGAACTTTACAAAAAGTTTTCAAATGGACCTGAACTTTAAAAATAACTCAAATCATCACTGTATTTTGCAAAAAGTTTCCATGAGGTAACACCCCATCCATCACTAAACTTTACAAAAATTTTCCACATGATCTCTAAATTTTGCAAAAAGGTTTCCCAAGAATTACTAATTCAGTGACCACTGGGAAACCTTTTGCAAAGTTTAGTAATGAATGAGGTAATTTTTTAAGTTTAGTGACCATGTGGAAACCTTTTGCAAAGCTTTGAGATGATTTGGATGATTTTTAAAGTTTAGTAACCCTATGAAAACCTTTTGCAAAGTTCAGTGACCATTTGGGTTATCATCTCTTGTAAACAGCAATGAAAAAGATTCGAAAGTTGGAAACTTTAAATATTGAACACCAAGATTCAAGAACGGGATTTAAGCAGTTGTTGTCCAAATGAAGAATTCAAGATTCAAAATTTAATCACGCTTTAAGGTTGATTTAGCCATCCTTTGTGTGATTGATTGATGTTATAACGTTACAATAATAACTTAGCATCTCGTTTGGGCCCCATTAAATTAAATTTCATTTCTTTCTCTTCTATTTTCAATTACTCAATCTTTTATAAAAGAATATTACATGTATTTCGAAAATTTTTCCTTTTTTTAACCAATCATTCTTAAAAAAAAAAAAAACACTATTCCATCCATTTTAATTTAAAAAATGGGTGCCAAACAGGGGTTTAGTAAAAATTTGTGAAAAAATAAAATTTTTATTGTCTATTTTTCCTACAAGTAAATATAGCTACTGTTTGAACATCATTTTCTAAATATTAGGGTGCATTGGGCTTACAATTTTGTTTATTATTTTCAATTTTGCAAAACACTGAAAATATATTTGGTGAGGTAGTTTTAAAAATATATTTTAAAAAAATAATGCTAAATTTATAACATAAAACTCAAAACACATTTTTAACGTTTTTAGTGTTTTCAGCGAAAATTCTAAAAATACTCAAAACATGAAAAAACAAGAGTTTGAATAAATTTTATCCCTTGTTTGATTCTCATTCTTCTAAAAATTTATTTTTTTCAAAACTCATTTTCAATTACACATTCTTCAATAAAATAATATTATACGCAAATTTAAAATTTTTCTTTAATTTTTAACCACGCATTCTTTATCAATCAACTATTTAAAATACATTATGTTCTCCAAAATGGGGATCAAACAAGGGCTAAAAATTAAAAAGTTTAGAAAATAAAATTTAAAATTCTAATAAAAGATAATATTTAAATTTTGAAAATAAAATTCAAGAAAAATGAATTCAAAAAATAAAACTGATAAATTATAAAAAAAAATGAAAAATTTTAAAAATAAAATTCTAAAAAAAATAAAAATTTTGAAAAAATAAAATTAAAAAATTTTTGAAAAAATAAAAATACTTCAAGCTCTTAATTAAACACAAAATACACTCCATTTTAAGGAGTCAACCCTTAAAATTATAATTCATGAGACTCTTTAAATTAATTAAAGAATTTGTTGGAATACTTAAAATTTTTAAATTTGTTACTATTTAAATTTATAAATGATCTCTAAATTATAAAATACACTTTTTAAAAATAGAGAGTTTTTGAAAACATGAATAAAAACATTATTAGTCAACATAATTAATTTTTATTTTTATTTCTTGTATTTTGAATTCAATTTACTGTTTGTTTTTATTTTATTTTCACAGAGAAAAAAAATATTGTAAGATTCTCCAGCTTGCAAATGTATATATTATTTGATAATATATTAACATAAAATTGCTCTATTTTTACTGAATAATCAAATTTCATAGAACTAAATGTCATAAAATAATTTTTCAAAATTTTGAACTAAACATGTTTTCTGGTTTTTTATTTTGAGAAATAATTTTTCGAAATGATAAACCAAACTCGTTTTTCCATTTTAGCAATCTTAAATTGGACTTTCAAAATAGAAAACTAAAAATGAACTCAAAACTAAAAATTGAAACACAAACAAAACCAATCCTTACTTTTTCCATGAACTCATTTTGAACTATACATTCTCTAAATAAATTTTTTTTTTTTTAAATTTCATCTTTCTTTAGACTCATTTTCATCTAAATATTCTTCAAATAAAATAGTTTTACACGTACATTAAATTTTTTTCGGACTTTTTAACTACACATTTTTTAGAAAAATGACTTATAAAACTCATTTCCTCCAAAAATGATTTCCAAGGGGGTAATTAGTACAAAACATTTTTACTTTTCAATGTTATTTTGCAAAAAATTCTTCATTTCATTTTTTTTTCTTTTTTTTTTTTTTTATCTTCATCCTTGTTTTCATCTTTTATTGTGAAAATCTTATTTTCATCCAATTTTTCAATTAGAAAAATATAAAGTGACAAATATACCCTCATATTTAAATAAAACAAAAAAAATAATAAAATTTAAAGAATAAATTGCAGTTATACTCCCAAACTTTTTGAAAAAATGGTTAATTAGCACAAAACATCCTTATCTTTAAATATTATTGTGCAAAACATGGCTACCTTTCATTTTTTGACATTTTCACCTTTCACTTCAAAAAAATGTAAAATAGCAAATTTGCCCTCTTATTTAAATAAAATAAAAGAAAAATTAAAATTAAAAGTAAATTACAGTTATACTTTTGAACTTCTAAAAAACTACAAATAAGTCTAAATAAATTATTAAAAGAATAATTAATACAAAACGTCACCAACTTTCAATATTATTACCCGAATAGTGATTGTCAAAGGGGCTCTGCTTGTTTGACAACCCCTGATCGTCCAGGGAATTATGTAGCATGTCTGCGGGGCGCACAGGGTTGGCAAAGGGGCTCTCCCCTCATTTATGCTATGGCCCCATTTAGTAGGGATTTTTTGTCCCAAAAAATTGATTTTTTGACCGTTATTTTACTATTTAAGCCGTAATTTTTGACTTCTTCTCTCACATGTGAACCCCACTTTTTTTTTAACGATCAAAAAATCAATTCTCAAAATCTCTACCAAACGGGCCGTATATGTACACAATAATACTCACAGAAGTTTTTCGAATCATACGCCCCATACAATTAAAATATTGTCAAAAAAATCCCCTACAACCCATTGTATCTGATCTGATGGGGCCTGTGTATGATCTCTCCTTTCCCCTTGTCAAAGAGGGCTGGGCAACAAAAATGTCGCATCACGTGCACCACACGAGTTCATTACAGATAAATTGAAATTGAAACCCCTCAATTTTCTGCCACACTTGGTACATTATACTCTCTCCCTCTCTCGATCCAGATTCTCTTAAAGTGCAAGGGTTTGTTTGGTGTTTATTTTTGGAAAAAAAGTAAAGCATTTGTGCAATTTGCCGATATGAAACTCACCGTGAAAACCCTCAAAGGAAGCCATTTCCAGATTAGGGTTCAGCCCAATGACACCGTTAGTTACTCTCTTTTTCTCTCTATATGTGTGTATTTTGTTAAATTGTGTGAATGTGAAAGTTTTGAATTTTTTTTACTCTTATGTAATTCAGTACGATTTATTTTTTTTTAAAAGAAAAAATTTGTGTATGCATCTGGATGATAATGTTTTAGACAAACTAATGTAATTTTGGTTTTTTAATTTCTTTGAATTTTATAAGATTTTGTGCTGGGGCTATTGCATTGATTCGTGGGTAAGAATTTAATTTGACAGCGGTCGCACGCCATTAAAGAATCAAGTCGGATTACCTTTGGTATTCATAGTAGTTCTTCTTTGTGTGCCCTCTTTTTCTTGTAGAAGAAGCAACTTTATAGGAAGAAATTGAATTGAGATCTCTTGTTTGTCATGTACCAGTTTTCCTGTGTGTTACCATATGTTTGCTTTTGACTTTTGCGTAGTTTAGTTTCTCTTTCACCGAAACAAACGTGTTTATAAAATATATTGACCAATTTCTTATGTGTCATGCAATAAATTTTGGAAGGTCCTTATTCCCTCGGGAGAGAGTTTAAAATAAAGTTGCTAAGAATGAAATAGGAACCTCGGACTTTATGGAATTGAATTGAGAAGCTATTTTCCTCATTTTTCATAATCTGCTCACACTTAGTCATGTTTTGTCCTCATTTTCTAAAACTTGTTTTTCCTTAACTTATTTTCAACCACACATTTTATGGGCCCACAACTTTTAATCAACTTTTATCGAAATCTACTAAAAATTGAATTTTTATCTAAACTAAACAAGGGCGTAGAATAATCCAAAATTTGCCTAGAGACTCAAGTGTAGTGGCCAGTGCTTTATCAGAAGCAATAAATCAATCTTTAGATGCCTTCATAAATGTTATGCCATCGAGCAATGATGTGATCCTTTATGCCTTTACTGACACTAAATTTTTTAAGTAATTATGTCACCCCTACAACCCATATTCTACTTTCTCACTCATGCTCTTGAATTTGAGGGGACGGGTAGCTCGTCCATAAAAATGAGAAATCAAATTTTTTTGGCTTGTTACTTTTGAGAAACAACGAGCTTTGACTGACGTTTTTCTAATGCCTTTTTTTGTCGATAAAACAGCACAATGTATGCCCTTATTTATTGGCTAGACTAGGGATCAGATCTTTATAATTTCCTTAATTTCTGTCTCCTGTTAAGGAAGCAGCACAATCTCATATAGGCTTATCAACTAGTTAATTAGATGAGTGCGTGCATTATTGTTGTCATTGTAAGTTAAAGTTAATTGTTCATTTATACTTAGTTTCTTAAAAATAGATGCAGGTGCACCAAATTAAGTTAGCCATGCATAACATTCTTATGATATAAAGTTATTTAACCTCGTAAATTGTAATCTAAGAAGTCTGAGCAATATAGTGTATAATTTAGGAGACCACAATAGTGTAATTATTTCAGAAGTAGGATTTAGAATCAAAACTCTATATTTTGTTAAATTTCTGATTTTTGTGATTAAAGATTTGGATTTGTAGATGTAATAATAATTTTGTAAAATTGCATATGACTTTCTAGATTATTTAAACTCGTTTTGATACATCTGTGTGTTGATTGATTTGTGATTGGGTTTTTATTGTACAAGATTATGGCGGTCAAGAAGAATATCGAGGATGTACAAGGCAAAGACAATTATCCATGTGGTCAGCAATTGTTGATCCATAATGGGAAAGTACTAAAAGATGAAAGTACGTTGGCTGAAAACAAAGTCTCTGAAGATGGGTTTCTAGTAGTAATGCTAAGCAAGGTAAGAGCCTGGTCATCCTTTTGAATCTTAGATTGCATTGTTCCATGCGTTTTCATAGTTCAAAGATTCGTGTTATTCTTTGATATTTGATGCCGTTTTTAACCTGAAATTACTTTTCCATGGTGGTTTCGGAACATAGAAACTTGGAATTTTGGTGTTAGTGTCTCTATTGAAATATTTCTTTCTTTCGTTTATTTGTTATCCATACAGGGCAAAAATTTGGGATCTGGTGGTTCCTCATCGTCCCTGGTATTGTTTAGAAATGCACCATTTCTTGTCTTCAAGGCCTATTCATTTAATTTTATCTTTATGATGAGAAATTTCTTATACCTAGTCTTTATTAGCAGCCTGCATCTACTTCTGTGCCAACTTCTAATCCTATATCTGCACCTGAAGCTCCGCCACCAGCGTTGTGAGTTGTAGATTAAGATTAGTGATAGTATTTACTATTTATGTTACTTAAATTGTTTAGTCACATTATATAATGCAAAATCTGTTTTATAGGGCCCCTAAGAGTGTTGCATCTGCTTCTGATGCTGCTGTTGCACTGTATGTTTATAAATTATATGTAATTGTAACATTCTGATTATTAGTCTATATTCTTACATATCTATTAATCAAAGTGTTGTACTAAGTTTTCTCAAGAATTTGATAAAAATCATTTTCTTTGTTCCAGTGACCCATCTGATACTTATGCCGAGGTTGCTTCCAACTTAGTTGCCAACAATAATCTTGAACAGACTATTCAGCAGATCATGGATATGGGCGGTGGTAGTTGGGACAAAGAGACAGTCAGGCGTGCACTGCAAGCTGCCTATAACAATCCTGAGCGAGCAGTGGATTATTTGTATTCTGTATGCTTCGATTCCCTTTCCTATTCTGCACTTCATCTTAGAGGTTAGCTATGGGCTCTGATTTTTAACCTTTTTTCCCCCTCTTTTTAATCAGGGGATCCCTGAAAGTGCGGAAGTTGCAATGCCAGTGGTTCAGACTGCAGTGGATTCTGTTGCTGCACCTGGTGCAGCAGGGGCTGCACCTGTTTCAGCGGGACCTAATTCATCTCCATTGAATTTGTTTCCTCAGGTTTGTCATGATGTTATGGTTGCCCATAAAACATGTAATTCATCTTTTCCATGTGTCATGCTTTCTGTGCCTAAAACTTTCCAGGAGGCCCTTTCTGGTACTGGTGCTGCTGCTGGTCTTGGATCCCTTGATTTCCTCAGAAACAACCAACAGGTGGGATTCTGATTGTGTTTTGTATATTATTTGGATTAACAAAAATCATTCCGTCAGATCTTGTGTCAAAGCTTTGTATTTGACTAAAATTCTTGCCTCCAAGTGTTATTCTTTAATTTCAATTCAATTATCTAATTTTAATATTTTCTTGTGTATTCAAATATTATCATAATGAATATCTATAGGCCCTTGTAATCATTGAGCGTTGGGATGTTTTTCTAAACAAGTTTGTTATTTGTTTCCAGTTCCAGGCATTGCGTTCAATGGTTCAAGCTAATCCACAAATTTTACAGGTTATTCAATATTATTCTGCCTCTTGGGTACATTTTATTAATTATTAATATTTAAGCTATAATCTAGTTCTTCTCGTACAGCCCATGCTTCAGGAGCTTGGAAAGCAAAATCCTCAACTTCTGAGACTAATACAAGAGCACAATCAAGAGTTTCTTCAATTGATTAATGAACCTGTCGATGGTGAAGAGTGAGTGTTTATACTTGTAGAAAATCTAATATGGTACAGTGCAAATCAGAATGTGCTGTATATTTTTAAAACATGCTTTTTACAATCATTTAATATTTCTCTGCAAGTTTGCACCATGTTTGTTGTCTTTGACCCTTTCTAGGTATCCTTTCTCTGCAAGTTTGCAAGTTTGCACCATTTAGCCCCTATTTGGTTCCCATTCTTTCCTCATTAAAATGAAAAATATGACCGTTATTTATCACAACAAGTCATCAAATTTGAATTTCTATCTCTTATGTGGGGCCCGTAACGACTATATTTTTCATTCTTCCAAAAATGAGAAACAAACGGGGGCTTAATTTATTGGCTTTGAGTGGCTTGCTCCACGATAGGTTTATGTGTAATAGAATATTGACTTGGTGTTTAGAGTTGGTTAATTTTTCTTACGGGCATGTCTACTCTTTATCTTGTTTGCTTATTCAATTACCATGGCATATACGTAATTGATATGTTCGGCTTTTTATTTGGTACAGGGATATGTTTGACGAGCCTGAACAGGACATGCCCCATGCTGTTAGTGTCACACCAGCAGAGCAGGAAGCCATCAACCGAGTATGAGCAAAAAAAAAAACTCGCTTTCTGTTCTCTCCCTCACTTTTATGTGACCTATTTTAATGGTTTCTTCAATATTTTTAGATGGAGGCTATGGGTTTCGATAGAGCACTTGTTATTGAGGCCTTTTTAGCTTGTGACCGCAACGAAGAATTGGCAGTGAACTATCTGTTGGAGAATGCTGGAGATTTTGAGGATTGAGTGCCGGAAAAACCTTAAAATTATATTCTTTATTTCGCACAGGACTAGCTCGGGTTTTTATAAAAGCTGTTCTGCTTCAACAGTGGATCACATTGATCCCTTTCGAGGATGATCAACTTTTCGTTTGACTGTTAACCATCAGAAAAATTTGATAAAAAAAGGTGTGGAAAAGTGTGAAGATTTTTGTGAGAACTTCTGAAAGATTAGATTATTGATCCCCTCCCTGCTGTAGTGCTTTTTCTTTTTTCTTTTTTCTTTTTTCTTTTTTTTACCATATCGACGAACAGTGATGTTGTGAATTAGTGTCCTGTTGAAGGAAGAAATGTTTTATTTTGGCTGTTTCTTGTCTGGTGAATTGCCTATACAGAAAAAGAAATGGTTTCTTTATGACCTCTTTCTGGAGTAAAAATGAGGGCATGACTAAATACTCCGTCCTGGTCGGTCGGAATCTAGGGAGGGGCATTCCTCTCTTGGTTTTTTCATGTTTCATGTACATATTAATTATTTAATTTTATATTTTTATTTATGGGCTTGTTTGATAAGGCCCTTTTTCCATGGAAAATAGAAATCAATTTTCATTTTCCACCAAAAATGCATGTTTGATAGTTATATTTTTCTAGGCAATTCATTTTTCCATTTTCATGCCACTTCAACCATTTTCCACCAAATTGGTAAAAAAATGTGTTTCTTTAATTGATATTTTTCATGTAAAATAAAGTCAAACGAACATCAAAAGATAGGGAGTGGCATTCCTATCTTGGTTTTTTCATGTACATATTAATTATTTAATTTTATATTTTTATTTAAAGGCTTGTTTGATAAGGCCTTTTTTCTATGGAAAATAGAAATCAGTTTTCATTTTCCACAAAAAATGCATGTTTGATAAGATATTTTTCTAGGAAGTTCATTTTCCCACTTTCAAGCCACTTCAACCATTTTCCACCAAATTGGTAAAAAAATATTTTTCTTTAATTGACATTTTTCATGTAAAATAAAGTCAAACGAACATCAAAAGATAGATAATTTTTTTGGCCTTTTTTTTGGCAATGGAAGCAAATTCTATTCCCAATACCAATAAATTATATTCTTTTAATTGAAAATTTTCATATAAAATAAAACCAAACGCATATTAAAAAAATATTTTTATTTCAACATTTTTCACGTGAAAAATTATACAATCAAATACAATAATTGACAAATTTTCTTAAAACAATTTTTAGACAATTCAATTATCTGAAATTCGTTTTCTTTTCACTTAAATTTCATTTTTGCAATCAAACGGACCTTAGATTCTAAAAATTAGTAAATGGAGTGGAAATTAGAAAACTTAAGGTTTCGCTTGATTCTCATTTTTATTAAAATACATTTTACTCTCTTTTTCTTTTTAATCAAATATTTTTTATTAAAATAATATTATACGTAAATTAAGAACTTTTTCTTATTTTTCATGCACACATTCTCCATCAATTTATTATTTCAAAATTCATTTTTTCATAAAAATTGGTGTCAAACACCCTCTAGATTTCCGTGCTTTTTCCAAAAAATTTCTAGTGGGATGGCCGCTCTGGCCTATTGGCCTCTGTTTGGGCTCTATTCTTACGCTCCATTTGAATCGTATTACATTAAATTTCGTTGCATTTCATTTTTTTCTCTTTAATTTCTAGCTATACAATCTTTCATAAAATAATAGTATACGTAAATTGAAAAATTTTTCTTCTTTTTCAATCACTCATTTTTTAACAAAATATTATTCCACTCATTCTCATTTTTTTTTTTCAATTACACATTTTCAATAAAATAATATTAAACGTAAATTCAAAATTTGTCTTTTCTTTTTAATCACACGTTCTTTAATAAAATACTATTTTTAAATACATTTTCCCAAAAAATTGAGTTTAATTGGAGCCCAAACAAGAGCTAGAAGTGGTGGAAGCCTATTCAGTTATGTCACACTGATCCTCGTCCCCCATCGACGCATGTTCGTCCACGAATGCCATGTAATGTCAGATTGATCACCTTGCTGCTGCGATGGAAAAAATGAACAAATATTCTACTTCCGTACAAGTGGAGTGAGTGGTGATGGTGTTGATAGACAAGGATTAAGTAGCCTAAGCCTAAAGGTTTTGAAAGGATTCGGATTTTTTAAACTTGGTCTTTGAAACAAATTAATCCTTGCCGTTCACTTGAGTTGTATTTGTTTATAATGTTATGTAGATCTCAATCTCATTGTATAGCATAGTGAAAGTGAGGATAAAAACTTGTGTGATTGTAAATTTTTCTCGTAGATTCATTTGAGATGTATTTGCCTTTAAATACTATGTAGATCTCATTGTATAACGAGTGAAAGTGAGGAAAAAAACTTGTGTGATTGTAATAATTTTTTCTCTTCAAATATAAGGTAGGCTCTTCAAACTGTACGTTATTCTGTTTTCTGTCCATATTTCATTAATTTCAAGAGCAGTAAAATCGGTCACAGAACTTTCAGTTAGGTTATATACAAAGGTTGAACCCCAATCTTGAGGGTCTCCACCGCCCCACCCCTAGAGTTTTGTGAGGGAGGTAAATCGTGGTATGTGCCCCAACAAGTCAAGGGACAAGAGCTGCCTGTATACTGCGTCTACAAGAAGTCCAATTCCATGTCTCAAGAATCGAACCTCCACACTGTGACCGCCAGCAAGGCGTGAAATAATCTCACTCCTATCCTTTGTACCACTGGGCTATGCCTCGAGAAACAGTTAGGTTATATATATGTGTGTGTGTGTGTGTGTGTGATCTCCTAAACATCAATGTTTATTTTATATTAAGAAACAGTGATATGACGCATCATTTAATTGATGAAAAAGTTAATAATAGGTCTCATATATATAATGGTTCACAAATTAAATGATACGTCATGTCACCGGTACTTAAGAAATC